GCTTTCAATGCCCTAAACAGCAGTACTGGCCGGCAAGCTATCGATTTACTCCAAGAAATCGTAGATCATATTATGGCTAAAGAAATTACATATAGGAACGTTCATGTGACGAGTATGTCATTATTCAGAAGCGACTGGAGCCCCGCGACAGGTATATAAAAATTGAAGCAAAGAACTTCTACCACATAATAAAAAAATCATAATTATAGCTGAATCAGTTAAGAAATTTCAAAGCCCGCCGAATTTGCTTCTAATATATATATAGATACAGTATAATAGTTATTCCATTACTTGATTCTCCCGTGAAAAGCACGATCAATTATATGTTTGTTCTTATTTCTATCGTTACCAAGGTAATGACATGTTTTTATTGTTGCTACGTTTGACCAAGGCCAATTTGACGCTCGATTAGCGACAGGACCTGCTGTGGCAGCGACAACGCGCGCACCGACTTAACACAGGTTTCCTACCGTACTTCCCTCTAACAATTGGGTCTTCCTTCCTGCGGTGAAACCAATTTCGCGATAAATTTCAGTGCTACGAACGCTTATTTTGGCCATTGCTTGCTACTTATGGAGAATTTCGAAATCAGCTTATTCCAATCGGACGTTTCTTGTCGGACAAAATTCAACCCAGTTAGTTGATCAGTAGCCATTTTCACTGTGACACGACAAATAAGTTGGCTTTTCCAGAACCCTGCTGGTTTAAGCTTTACATTTTTGTTGCCTACCATGCAGCTATTATATTAACCAACGGTTAATAGAAAACGTAAACGTTTATCTTCGATCGTTTTTAATTTGATTTTTTCGTCTCAGCCTGATTGTTGGTTTGCCATCAACTCTCTAGGATGCATTTGCTAATCTGATTTATCGCCTCAGATGTAACTTCCAAAATATGACGTGATAGTAACATTCTTCATCAAGAATAACTTCGCGGGCCATTTGCTGTCCGCTAACTGCTAGGGTACAGAAAATGCACACTACGTATGCTGGTTCAGGTTGTCTGCGGAGATGACTAGAAGGTAGGCTAAAACTGGGGCATTTTGGGGACATATCTGCGTAAAATTTGGGACGGCGTTAATCGACACGGCTGGCGTCCCGCGGACCCAAAAAAGCGACGAAAAAAAGGTTCTATCTTTGAATCGTAAAAATCATCTGTACCTCAGGCAAAACACAGCGGTTCGCTGGCATTGAAAGTGAAGTAATTCGGGAACTTCAGCGTGATATAACGGTTCCATTCGTTGCTCTATCTCACGCAGATGCGGGTTTTTCGTATGTTGCATAAGCAAGGCGTACAACACATAATTCTCTTGGTCTTTTGTTGAATCCATCGTCAGTAGAAAAAGCTGACTTACGAAGTACAATCGACGCTTAGATATCATTGTCGGGCGGCTGGAGAGGGGGGTACGATAATAGGATATGTTGAACGATGACAAACTCGAGCGGAGTGTCCGATAGGTTTTTGTTTTTCTTGTATAGTTAAATGAGATTAGCTTTCTTTCAGTCACTGTGCAGATGGCTGCAAGCGTTGTGCTGGCTACGGTGCATCAAGATGCTCAAGCTCAAAGTTATCATTACAAAAAGCTGAACATTCTGTTCGTCACCGTATAGATAAGTCGTTGCATCTAAATCTAAGCCAATTTACATTTGTACTGATACAGCTTTTGCTCCATCTTGTGAACCCTTCTAAATTAGAAAAACTACAGATGTGAGCGTGCTTGATGCCGACTGATAAAAGCCTATTTGCTCTCTTTCAGATAATGGCTAGTTTAAGCCAATTTTTCTTATACATCGATTGCCGTTTCTCAAGCCATCGCAGCGACAGTGAGAACTATTCTCTGTTATTTTTTACTCACGTAATGTATGATTTGTATTAGTTATATAGTCAATATAACAATAGCATTTTCTGTACGCTTCTTCACTTTTGGCTGTATTTATGTTCGGCGACGTTTCGAAAACACTTAGGATTAGTCATCTCTCATATTGATGCCAGTACCTCTATACTTGCCTCACACTTCAATGGTCATCAAAGATCACATCACCTCACGCAGTACTCATCTTCTCAACAAAATATGCATGTATATGAACAAATATATTTATCTATATAGTACCCAAATAGGTAGTACCTATATCATTTTTATATCCGACGAACCAAGCGTCATGAAGGCTCACTAGGCCTGCGTCACCTGATGATAAAGACGAGAATCTCGCATTATATTGTCCTATGACAATATAGATAGGTCACTGATTGTCCAACTGATATTTTTGACGACACTAGAAGACACACACACCCACACATACAGACAAATATACGCATCTGGATGCATAATAAAGCTATTTATAGCGTTGACTAATACCTTTGTTTACAATATAAAGCCGGCGATCCACAGGTGACATAATATTGTAATTATACAATGTTTTGTAATGGCGCAGCAGTATCGAATGCCGTAACACAACTCCTCTCATGCAATATTAACAATGTTCGCCGTGCGTCACAGCTAGAGCACAAGGCGTTTGTTGCCCCCCATAAAAAATAGAATACGAAGCGATTTTGTTGTACCAGTGCATGGAACGTTGCGGTAGACAGCGCCGCTAGCAGCAGAAGCAGCCGCTTTTATTCAATACGTCATCAGATGGGTTGATCAGTTGATTCACGAGGCGAAGCCCGACCCGACGCCAGCAGTGGTAAGCACTGGTAGTGGCCATGCCATCTACATGTCACGTCATCAGACTACAGCCACAGTAGCGTAGAATATGACCGCCGTTGATTCTCTTTCTTCGGTCCGTCATTGTCCGTTCAGTGCTCCCGAGTCCACAGAACGTTCTAGTTGAAAGTCAGAGCCACGAAGATCTGCGACACATTTTGATTTTGCGGTATTTAGGATAACGTTAAGGATAGCGAAGCTGCTGTACCGTGAAGTCACATATGCTACCACAGCATCACGGCATTATAGCACACCCTGCCACGTGACGCCGCAAGAACATCTGCCCCGTTTCGTAGAATGGGTAGCCTAACGTGACCCATGATGTTGGGTCTAAGGAAAGTAATCGCACGTAGCATCAGTGCAATTGTGATGCCCATATGTCCTCCGAGATTAAGCAACAGGACAACCCAGCGCCGAAGATTATGTTGAACGGTTTAGCTTGCGGCGTATTTGAGGTATTCTCTCATTGGCTAAGTCCTTCGGCTCAGGAGAAACAGGAACATCGAGGGCAACGTCAACAACGATAGTAACAGGGCGAAAGGCAGCGCTCCTCGATGGTGAAAACTGGGACAAACCAGAGATGGAAACGTAATAATTGCTTTAAGACATTAGTTATGAACTGAGTCGTCCTCGAGACGTGGTCAGGTAGGAGAGAATCCAAAAAAAGGGGTTTGCCACTGCAAAAGTGTTAACAGCTGGTACTAATTGCCCATAAACAGCAGAAGGAAGGCCTCTGTAGGATCGATCAGGTTACCAGTCGGTTTCACTACGGGTATCTAATTAGCATGTGTCTGTGGGCAAATAATGATCGGCTGTTAACTATTGGACTCAGGTATGTTTGGCGTTGAGTCATACACAAATTGGGTGCCCTGAGCGCCGTCACGCAATGCAGATAACAATTCTCGTTCTTCTTACTGCCATTGTCAAAGAAGATTGATCTTAGGGAAACCTCCACTAAAATCAAAACCAGCCAGCAGACCACGCTGTGGTCACACTCATTTATAGTCGTAACAAAAATATCAAGTATAAAGTAGTCATGCATTAGATACCGCCAAACGAAGTGGCAGCCCATTGCAAAAATCAACTTCAAGTAACTCTGAAGCAGATAGATAGCTGATGTTATTGGCGTATTAGAAGCATTGCATGCATGTAGCGTGACGTTAGATATGAAAATGTTATGGTTGTTCATGATGCGGAAAAACTAACCAATCGTTTCCGGTGTGATACATACCTTGCAAAAGCCGCCATATTACCCGTCCAACAAACTTACTTATTACAAAAAGCGGCAGAGCAAGTTGTTTGTTGCCTACTAGCTAACTTCTCTGTAAAACCACGGGAAGCATAATAAGACTGCAAGTGTGACATCTTGATCATGATGGTTCAGATGAAGCAACACGTATATGGGTGGGCTTATTTATTTTAACGTAAGTTCTACATTGTTTAGATGAAATGAATAGAATCGTAAGAACTAAAGCAATGTAATAACAGAGCCCTTTAAGAACTTTCTTTTTAAATGCACGGGGTTTGGTTGGAAAGATACGTTAGCAGTACCTTAGTTAGAAAAGCGTCACATCGTCGTTCATTTATACTGTTAATATCATTCGGTATATTCTGTTTGCACATTCATAAACATAAAAGTTCCATGATTTCCTATTTGCACGTTTGAACGAGCCATTTGCATTCGATAGCCCAAATCGTGCAAAGTCTTAGGCCAAGTGCGGCCCGAAGCACTTGCCAGATCCCGAATATAAGCAAGCAAAGACCAGCGATTTCGTCAGTTCACTAAAAACCTACAAACCCTTTGTCTGACGAAAAGATAGTACCGGGGTTACCGTAATCTATTTGAGGTCCATATGTGTTTCGCCCCACAGTCTGCTGATCAGTTGGGGTCGCAACCGATATGAGAATGACTGTATAGCAAATATCAAGTAGTGATATCGCTGAAATCGTACAGATCCTTCCGACTAAGGCAGGCTCACGTGGTTTCCCGATCTTCCCTCCTGAATTATGACGTGCCTTTACCACCAATTTAGCTTTATAGCGTGAATTCCACAATGTTTGCATAAGACGAAAACAAGAAATGATGCGAATCGTCATTGCCGACGTGCGGTACCACATCACGTCACGCATTTGTCCCCCGATTGCACGCATTTACATACGGATGCAAGCGCACGGACACAATAAGATGGACGTATCTATCTACTTAGATCACCAATTGATACATATACACACACCCGCTCACCCACATAAATAGGCAAACAACATTGAGATAAACATCCGTTTCAAGCAGACGTACCTGAACGGATTCATCCTGCCGTAGAATCGTTAGAGGGGTATCCTTTTAATGTGTGTCGTTCTCTTTGCCAATGTTTACTAGTATGGCTGACACAAAGAATCGCTACCGTCCAGACTTTTTTGACGGCGCCAAGTCGTACGCGAGCTGAAGAAGTCGACACGGTAATAATACAATCGTATCTTGATCGATCTGAATAAACCGTCCGTCTGTTAGAATCAACGGAGCACGTACACGGGGCGGGCGGACTGTAAGGACAGTTTCACGTTTTGGAGGAGCAAAATGGAAGTTCACAAACTACATAAATGTGATCACTACAAGCATATCTATTACACACCGTTACATTTAGTGCAGAAGTACATACGCAAGTCTTTGGCACCTTCACAATACCCAACACTGAGATATACACAGAGACGCGCACCGCGTTTCAATGGTAAACACCTGTCGTCGAATGGCCGAACCGTTGCGGTTTGTACAATGACTTTCACTAATGCTGCTAGTGTTGTGTTTGGTTAGAATGATATCAATAATGGTTACGGTAACTTTTTTTCGACTCTATAATGATTCATGGGGATGTTGAAGAATACTACAAAGGAACAGTAACAACCAAAACGACGATGACCAGTAACAATAGACGACAACCACAACGACAATCACACGACTACAAGCAGGACGCTTCCGTCCAAGACTTGTTCTGTCCGCACTGCAGATTGTTTCGTGAATGATGGCGCACCCGCGCTGAATGCCCCCTTTTAGCTGAAGGAGTGCGAGGGTAAATGAAGCAGCTACGGTGGCCGCAAAGGCAGCACAGCGGCAACATGGCGAAGGAATTGCACGTGACGCAGACAAAACGAGGTCTAACACGGTGGCCTACGCCTGGTAAAAAAAATACTCATAGACTTTGTCCGTCTATAGCGATCGGCTATGAACTAACATTGGCATGGCCTGGCAATGGCAACTGATCTGATGATGATGCCCAACACGGATCAGAGAGGGCAGACGTTTGCTTACCCCACAGTAGCAGTTGCGTGCTTCTTGCTTTTTCCTCAATAACTGTTATAGCTATTGATATCTATTGTCTGCTGTTCGTTTGATAGGTGATTAGTCCTTAGTTTTGTAGTTTGTGCCCCTGTGGGGACGGTGGCTGGGACTGCTCGTTGCTGTGGGACAATTACTATTAACACACGTCAGTTTATTGTCATCGATGATTGTATCCCCTCGGGTACACATGCTTCAGGGTTCTGGGGAACGGCTTGTGCGTGGCTAGCGATTGCGCCTAATCATGACCATATAAAATATAGTGTTTATCTTGCTCGTTCAGTTTTGTCGGTACATGCAATACTGTGTCATCTGATAGGATATAAACTTGTTTTCACCGTTTGTTTAGCACCTCTAATCTAAAACAATAGAACGCAGAAACATTAAACTGTTAGCTCAGTTTAACTTTTACGGCGTACCGTGTCAAGGAAACATTTGCAGATTGTGTAACATCAGCATTTGTAAACATAATGGGGTAAAATATATGTTAGATGCAACAACAACAAGTCACAGAGGATGGCTGCACTATGTGGACCAAATGACGAATGCTTTAAGCCGTATTCAATTGTACCTAACACTTTGCTGGTTTGGGGCCTGCGCAGCGGATTTGTTTTTTTATAAGGAAATGTTAATCTCATAGGACAACGCTAATTGATGCCATCGTTTATCAGCTGACGTATTTCTTAACAGTTAGGAGATATGTAGGCCGCAAATGTGAGACCAAGTGCGTAGGTTAAACCTTCTTCAATTGATGGATTTATCGTCAGATTGATTATTTTTTGAACCGGCTTCGTCCATATCCACTCAAATCATTTATGGCTGATGGCTAGAAAAATTTTATGCAATGAATACGGAAGTTATCCATAGGTTGGCTAATTGTCAACGCCACTTCGGGCTCGGAACTTAAGAGCAAAGTGCGCCTTTCTCAAGGAAATTTAAAGAGTCGATGATTGGATATGACCAGATGCCGTTATGAACGTTTGGAACCCTGTCAAACGATGTCAGGTAAAAACGCAGCCGAACGATTCCTGGACAATGCGCTTATCTACAGTTTTTTTTTTTGAGGATCGTCAGTCGGTCAAATGTTTATCTACTTACACTAGTGCCTTTTAGGGCACATGATGTTTAAATCTACCTGCTTCTTCTCTTGCCGGATACCGTTATTTGAAAACTTACGGTTTAATATTTTAAACTTTTCTACTACTATGGACGTTTCACGTGCCAGATGAAAAGTAAGAGACAATAGTTCTACATTGACTAAAATATTTAGGTTGTTCTAGTTGTAGAACATTTAAATATTCTAGCTAGTTTAGTTAATAGTAAACGCTTTAAGGTTTGTGAAACCTAGTAAAACTTTGATTATTTCAAAGGAACATTCCCAAGACTAAGTTGTGACGGCGAAGTTAAGCGAACTCCTGCAACAGTGTGACTTTTTTGGCCAGCCAGCTCTATTTGTCCTTAAATAGTACCACCATACAGGCATAGAGCTTCGTGTTAACCCAATAGCTACAGACTGCATAATTCTATGTAGTTGTTATCGCGACAGATATAGCACCTGTAACAAGTACTAAGTATGTGGGTCAAGCCTTGTCTGATTCGGAAAAGATGAGCTTTCTGTTAAACTTGTATCTTGATACTAACGTGAAACGTCTAGCAGCAGCAGGATTTGACGACACCATTTTAAAATCTCCGAATAGCGGCATTTTAAGCCCGCGAAAAAACAGCTCCTATAAAAATGGGTAGTGATATAGAATGCTGGGAACTAGCCGGCCAGCCAACCGTTTGACGGGAGCCCCGACGGCGATACTGGATGTAAAACTTGAGACATAGAGGTATTGATGCGAAGCCTCTCGGAAAGCTACTTACTATGGGCATTTGCTGCTACTATGCCGCCTTGCTGATAACATGAAAAGGATATTAAAGAATAGGAGAAGTACAGTAAGTACCAGATCGCTCATAAATGAAAATAATTCAATGTAATACTCCTTGTGCTGTAAAATCGAGTAGAAACTACCACTTGACACACGTTATGTAACCCATCGCGAAACCGTGAATAATCATGTGTGATTTAGTATTGTTCCTGTTGCCCGGCTCCCTTATAATAGTCGTTTGCCGTCCTCTGAAATCCATTGTGATACTTGTATCGTCATTAATGTACGTAAACGGGCAAATTCTTTCATCCACGTCGAAAAAGGGCTACCAATTACAAATGGGCAACCGGACTATGAAAGGAACACCTGCTTTTCTCGTGATTCAGTCTCAATTGAACACTGGATATACAGTATTTTTTAAATTTCAAAATTAGAAAAGCAATCGACGGCTCGTTTTAGTAACGTCCAACGTATGTATTTACCATACCTATTAGCCGCGTACAGAAAGCCTCTATTAGTGTTTTCGTTGTGGCCGTACGCAGGCTTATTGATAGTTTGGAGAACGGCCTTTTTACGGCAACAGTCACTTTGACCCATCGACCCACATTCCTATAATAAAGCCATCACTGATTGTACTATATGAACGATTTCATTATATTGAACGAGTAGAGAATGTAATGCTTCCGCTACAAGGTGTATTAATACTTAGTAGTCGTCTCTCGATTCCCAATCTGTTCATAAAATGAAAATTCAATTATTTGAAACCGTGTATTCCAGACAGAGGCGTTTCCCTAAAATGATTCCCAGCGTATGGAGCAGACCTTCGAATGGAACTACAGAAAAGAGGGGCTCAAGTTGAAAAATAACTTGAGAAAAACAAAACGCTCGATTAACTTAGCAGCCTGGCAATGATATAAATTACAAGCAACACCACCGCGCTTGGCGTGAATGCATCGGTGCACCGTTCGCATGAGATATACACACGGGTCAATCCACGGTCTAATAAAGCACAATTTATCCTACTCTCGTTTATATCAGTTACAATATCAATAAACTATAGATTTTATGTTGCAAAAACCAGGTATAGAAGCTCACTTCCAAATTTCAATACGCACTGTTAAGGGAGGATAAGTTTCATGGCTCCTTCCACAGAGCCATAGAAACGTCCTTGGAACTGTGTATTTTGAAAACGTATAATTTCGTTTGGAAGTAATCATGCCTCGACATAATTCATAGGCTTATTTATCATAGTGACGACACGCTTGGTTAAATAAAATATAATTTATAGCTAGCTAAACTATAAACTGTACGGTGCGCAGCATTTTTCAGTTAATATCTACTATCCCAAATCTGTGATCGTTTTTATAGTACGAAAAAGGCTTCGTTGTGCATTTTGTATATATATGTGTGTGTGTGTGTGTGTATAAATATAATTAATAACACAAAAAATTAAGCGTTAAAATTGCAAGTGAATTATATATGCATACATGTACACGCAAAAACAATCTGGATGAAGCCACTCAGCCGTTAACCCTAATCGTTCAGTGAGTGTTCGAAATCGACTAGAAAAAAACGGCGTTCAATCGACAGTGAAAACGGTGAATCAATCAGAGCACAACAACAACAGACTTTGCCCGCCACGATATTGGCACCGATGTATAGGTCCTACGCAATCAAGTACTTGTGGACCAATAGCCAATCGACGAGGGGCCATATCCTCATGTAAGCCAAAACCACAGGCGGCAGCTGCTGCGGCCATTGGCGATTGAGACGTGTCGCGAATGACAAACAACTAATCGTTGCCAGGCCTCTTCGCTTTGTCTCTGTTTGTGGATAAAAATAGCGAACTTTACCACAAATTGGTAATAGCAGTATTTTTAGTAGTTAGGTGATGACATTTTGCCCCCAAGGTAGAGGGTGACGCTGAAATATTTTGTCCGTCGTTGTGGCTACCTCTGACAACCGCCAATTTGAACAGTGCAATGACAGTGACCCCGGAATGTAGTAGCTGCTACTATCGTTGTTGTCATGGCCGTGATAAAAATCGCGAAGTCTAAGGTAAGGCGTGTAAGACAATTGAACCCGACTGACTCATCTACATGTAGCCGCTGTGCACGAACAGTCGTGCAATTCAGCTGAAACGTATGCATTTGGAATAGGATCGTTCGTAACGTAGAAGCGCTAGTGAAGCGTTGTTCCTTACGGCGTAAACTGAATCTGCTATATAAACCATATACAGGCCCCGCCAAAAATCAAAATAAAAACACCAATCGAAGTGAAAAAAATTATAGAAACGGAGCGCAACAAGCAACAGTAAAGTAGTCCTTACGACCAGCCATACGAACGTAACGTATTGTTGCTCGGTTTTTTTGGCGATGGTTAGGGACATACACGTAGGTGGCGCACAAAGTAGAGTCGGTGGGCAAATTAAATTCGAGCTTAAAAAATCCATCACCAATATGGTTAAACCTTCGGCTGTCCGAACGAGGCTTAATACCGCCAACAAATGTGGCAGAAAGTTTCGCCGGTGATGCCAGAGAGAGAGCCCTCAGCTGCTAGCCAAGAGATCCTACAGATTTTTTGCCCCTGCCCCGAACCTCAACAACGGCCCGAATGATCTATGCTTAAAATTACTTTTATTTTCGGGTATATATATTTTTTATTCAATGCTAAAATTAATATTTCACAATAAGCAAGACACAACTACGACAATATCGGCAGGGTCAAGTCGATTTACCTGTCGGTCTGCCTGCTCTTTAGTGGCGGGCTGCCGTCCTGTTTGGCTTTTGGGTATAGCGAGCGTCTCATGACCCAGGTCCAGATTTTTAGCCGAGGTGCAATTTTTCAAATGACCTACAATTAGGGAACAGAAGTTGTATAGAAAACAGTCACCGTTGAAG